TTTCAGATAGCATTAGTTATGAATCAAAGCATACGGCCCCACATATCAGAGAATGTAATAACTTCAAGTCTGAGGATAGTTATAGCAAGGTCGATTTGAGAATACTGATAAACACATTACTGTAGATCCATGCAGTATTCTCAAGATGGGTCAATCCAGTCACATATTATCAATATAATATGCACCTACGACAGATTAAGATATCACAATACCTATAGTCTATGAGACGCAACTATCTCATCTCGTACGTACTAGTCTTGATACGTTATGACGTCCATATTATCATAAAGTGCGACTAGGGATATTATAGACATAGCCTTCGTCAAGAAGTAACAGTCTCATAATCAGAACATCGTAGTCCTCATCTATGTTACTGAAGCGCTATCGTCTATGGACTGAAGCTATGTTATGTTACACGAGATATAAAACATACTTCAAGGCCTTTCATTCATGATAAAGTGTACAGTTACATAGGTATTTGATTGCCGCTAGGGCACCTAAATACAACAACATCTTATCAAACAAAATTCATACAGGCGGCATTCACATAACAGTAACATACAGTCCACATAAGAAATTTCAATTATCACAGCAATGTATCAACAAAGTTTATAGTGGAAGAAATTTAATTGATACTCCCGGCAAGAAAATTGTAAAGTGAAAGTAGGTGAAAGTCACTCCCCTACTTGTACGTTGAAGCCCAAAATGTTGGATCTGGAGTAGGTAGTAAGATGTTAAGCATATCTATGTGGGGGTGCATGTGTGAGCAGATCACCGGAGAAGTCTCAATCCCAATGATTTCAGACCCAAAGGAATCATCGGTGTCACTGTCTCCCAGGAACGCAACCTCATCGCTACCAAGATCAAAAACATCATCCGTATCTGAGGTAAGGTCGATTACCCCCTTCTCTCTGACCGGGGCAACAACCGTACCATCATCGTCGCTGTCGATGACGATGTTCTCCTCCTTGTCATCAGAGATAATATCACCGGCAATCACCTCAAAATCTTCACCTCCCCCATCTTCAAATTCCGTTTCAGAAACATAGGATTCGTAAAATAACTCATACGATTCCTCTGATGGAGTAGATGAAGAGTTCATGCACATGAAAGAGATGTAGATCTAGGGAGAGAGGAATGATTTTCGAAGAAATGAAGAAGATAAGATTCAGAATTGAGTGAATGGGTATGCGTGGGTGGGGATGTGGGGGGTTAGAGAAAGGGAGAGAGAGAGAGAGAGAGTAAATGTAATGCGTGCAGGGTGGGTGGGTAAGTGGGATGGGTGGAGGGAGTAATTGAGAATTTAATGATAAGGGTATTTTTGGAAGGATTGGGATTAAAAATTGAAATGGGAAGATTTTTTTCGGAAGGGGGAAAAGGAGAAACGGGAAGATTTTTTCCGGACGGAGGGAGTAATGAATATTGTTTAAATCATGAAATGTCTTGTATTAAAATATTGTGAGTATCATGAAAGATGAATATATACTTGAATTTTATATTATGTGCATGCATGATATCAAATAATTTGGTTATGAATTGAGATTCAATTTATATGGATGTTCGACTCATTAGATATGCTTACTCAGCTTTAACGCTGAGCATATAATATGTTTTATTTGCTACCTGCAGGTAAACAAAATAATAAAGTGATGAATTCCTAGTAGCAGACGGGGCGAGATGGTTGAGGTGCATGTGTGAAATGAATTAATGTTTAAAAAGACATAAAATTATGTTTTGTAAATGTTATTTATTAAGCTTCCGCAACGTTAAATTACTCCGTTATCATCCTGAATGATTTATTAAGAAATAATGTTTTTAAAATGTTTGAAATATTTTGAATGCTTACGAATATCAAGTATATAATTTAGTCCGAAGGGGCTGCAGTCCTGAATGGATTAGGGTGTTACAATTTGGTATTGGAGCAAATGGTTTTAAACCCGATTTTCGGATTAAAATTTGATTTAAAAATATTATATATATATATATATATATATATAAATTTTGGATATTTAAAAATAAATAAATAAAATTATAGGTTACATCCACGACTCTCGCATCCCTCGACTCCAGGAAGGTAACAAAAATCTAAGTATTAAATTTGACTGCATTAAATTTTTATTAATGATGACAGTTAATTCTGAAATGCTATTAAGTGTGGGCTCAAGTCAAACGTTCGTACTTAGCAAGAGACAAAAGAATAAACGAAAAGTATATGACTCTTTGATACGTTATCAACGTGGTCATCGCAACACGAGATTAATTAAACGAAAAATTTATCTGCGCCGTAAAGCTGCGTGGGAACGAGACAATCCTGAAGAGGCGTTCAGTGTAGACGCTGCGAACAACATATGTGGATCCGGTGTGGAAGACCCTTCTGTGGACTCGACACAAACAAACTATTCAAACACAATCGTTTGGAATTAATCTTGTGTTTTCTGTTCAAATTCTTTGGTTGTACCGATTATGGTAATCCTTTGCAATTTCTGTCATGAACTCAACCACTCCAATAAAGAATCCTAATAAAGGAATTTCTGTTATTAGTAGAATGTGTCAAGAAACCGACCATGGACAAGGCAACAACAAGGAACACGTAAGTGTTCATACCGAAGCATCTAGCTTCATTCCTCACATCCACAATGAGCATGTCAATCCGCAAAACATCGAAAACAATCCAAACACTGGTGGTCAACCTAACCTTGTGATCCTTGTCTTTTGGCTAATGTCTTACAACAAATAGCCAATGCTCCGATGTTCCAACCACCTCCACCACCGCAACCTCGTGTGGTAACTAATAAAACACTAAGGGATAACTATGCTGAAATATTCTTGGGGATTGCTTTGCTGAACCCCAAATTGCGTGGGATTGGATCAAGCAAACTGCTCGAGTCTTTGAAGATCAGAATGTACCTATTGGAAACTATCAAAGGTTGACTTCTCAACTGCTTCGCAAGAAAGCCTATGAATTGTGGAAATGAACCGATGAAAGTACAGAAACCCCAAAGCCATGGACATGGGCATATTTTGAGTGGGCACTCAAACAGGATTGCATTCCTAAACGTTTTTGTGAGGAGAAACGTACAGAGTTCATTGAACTGCAACAGGGGAGTATGACGCTCCCTGAATACCATCAAAAGTTTATCCATTTTGTCATATTTGCACCAACATTGGTAAGCACCCCAGCCGATCGTATTGATGAATTCTGGAACAAACTTTGGTCTAACCTTAGGTCGCGAGTGTCCATCATGACCACTGTGGATTTCTCGGCAGCCTATGATCTGATTACCAAGGTAGACAAGGACCTGAGTGCTTGCAATGAGTACTTAAAAATAAATAATGTCGGCCCAAATACTCATCGACCCACCAGCTCTGTCCCAAATACGAAAAGGCCTTTCCAAGAACGTAGTGGCTTGCATTACTCAAAGAAGGGGAAGTAAGTACAAACTCAGTCCGTAGCATCGGATAATAAATCGAGAGGATGGAAGCACCCGTTGTGCGGCATGTGCGGAAAGCACCAACCAGGTGAATGTTGGCTTACCCAAGGTCTGTGTTTAGGCTGTGGTAAGCCTGGACACTTCCGAAAGGAATGCCCCACTAACCCTGGGAGACCGTTCCCGTGTGCCCCTCGTTGTCAGCCAGTCAACATTATCATGACCTACGCCAAGTCAACATTCAATAGCGGGATCTAATCTTGCTAAAAATCAGAATCAACAGCAATGAAGAGCTCATGTCCGTACCTATGCAATGAAGGGACGCACTGAGGAAAATCGTGGCATCATTCAAGGTATGTTTTGCTTATTTGATAGTGTCATGCATGAGTTGATAGACCTTGGATCGGCGTTACCTTATATCTATGTACTTGTGCTTGACCAAGCTGGCGTACTAAAAGAAAGTCTAGAACAACCTATACTAGTGTCTAACCCATTTAAGGACATAGTATAAGGTTACATCACGTGTATCAAGATTATCTATTGATTGTCGAAGGACAACAATTCTCTGCAAATCTTATTGAATTACTGTACTAAGAATTTGACATCATCCTCAGAATGTTGGCTCACTAAACACCAAGCTGTTATCGATTGCCCGACAACGAGTGTTATAACTAAAAACCCATAATGGAAAATCTGTAGAGGTGAAAGAAAATCTAACACCTAAAACCACTGAATTCATCTCGTACATACACGCTAGACGTCTCATTCGCAAGAAATGTGAAGCTTATCTGTGTAATGTACGTGACACACAAAAAGAAACTCCTAACTTGAAGGATATATACCAACGATACGTAACTTTCCCAATGTATTCCTTAATGAACTTCTTAGTATACCATCTTCCACGGAAGTAAAATTTTCCATCGATCTTGTTCTTGGAATATGACCGATATCTACAACTCCCTATAGTATGGTCCTACTGAAATCAAAGAGTTGAAGGCTCAACTACAAGAATTTCTTAACAAAGGATTCATTTGACCGAGTGTTTCCCCATGGGGAGCACCCGTTCTGTTTGTGAGAAAGAAGGATGGGTCGATGAGACTCTACATCAATGACTTATTTGATCAGGTTAGAGGATTTACTGTTTCTCTAAGATTGACTTAGGATCAAGATACCATCAATCCCTGTCAAGAAAGAGGACATCCCAAAGACTACATTTCGTACTCATTATAGACATTATGAGTTCACGGTAATGCCCTTTGGTTTGACCAATGCTCATGCAGTATTCATGGATCTCATGAATACTATATTCTAACCCTATCTGGATCAATTTGTAGTTGTATTCATCAATTATATTCTGGTATACTCGAAGAATCGAGAAGACCATGCAAAACATCTAGAGATAGAACTCCGAGGGCTACGAGAACATAAACTTTATGCAAAGTTGTCAAAGTTTGAATTCTAGCTCGATGAACTCACATTTCCGGGTCCTGTGATTTCAAAAGAAGGTGTCAAAGTGGACCCTAGTAAAATATCTACCATTGCCGAATGGAAGGTTCCGAAGAATGTTCGTGAAGTTAGAAGCTTTCTGGGATTAGTTGGATACTATCGACGTTTTGTTGAAGGCTTTTCCTCGATCGCAACTCCACTAAACAAACTTCTAAGGAAGGATGTAAAATTCGCATGGACGGACGCATGCCAGCAAAGCTTCGAAAAGCTCAAGAAATGTCTGACGGAAACGCCAATATTGACACAACCAGTACCAGGTGTAGATTATAAAATCTTTAGTGACACATATCATAATGGCTTGGGATGTTTACTCATGCAAAACGACAAGGTAATGGCGTACACATCGAGGCAATTGAAGCCCCATGAATGTAACTACCCCACTCATGGTCTCGAGTTAGCAACAGTCGTATTTGCTCTAAAGATATGGCGTCATTACCTCTTTGGAGAGACGACATATATTCACAAAGACCACAAAAGTCTAAAATACTTGTTAAATTAGAAAGAATTGAACCTGAGACAAAGAAGATGGCTTGAACTGATCAAGGATTACGACTGTTACATCGATTACCATCCTTGTAAAGCTAACGTAGTAGCCGATGTGTTAAGTCGAAAGATGGTAGCCGAACTACGAATCCAACCAACTCTGGAGAACGAGATTCATGCTGCACAAAGACGTGATGAATAATATTTGAAAACTTGTGGACTTGTCTCTAAGGGTGAAAGACAAGACTTCACTGTGAATGATGGAATGTTATTCTACAGGAACCGTTTCGTAGTTCCTAGTGGCGAAGTGAGAGAACGTTTAATCTGGGAATCTCACGAAACCACATATACAATGCATGCTAGTAGTGGTAACAAAATGATCCAAGATCTGAAAAAGACATATTGGTGGCCCATGATGAAGCGGGAATTTTTAGAATTCACGACCCGATGTCTAACGTGTCAACAAGTTGAAGCCGAACACCAAGTGCCAAGTGGGTTATTACATCCGCCTACCATTCCAAAATGGAAGTGGGAATGAATTGCGATGGACTTCGTAATTGGGCTTCCACTATCACTTAAGAAGAATGATGTTGTTTGGGTTATCATTGATCGATTAATCAAGTCATCTCATTTCATTCTGATTCGACGTGATACGTCATTGAAAAATTTGGCAGAACTATACATAAGAGAGATCGTAAGATTGCATGGTGTGCCTTAATCTATCATTTCTGATCGTGACCCACGTTTCACGTCACAATTCTTGAAAAGTCTACAGAAAGCGCTAGGTACTAAACTTAAATTTAGTACGGTATTTCACCCATAAACGGATGGGAAATTTGAAAGAACAATTCAAATTCTGGAAGACATGATGAGGGCATGTGTGATCGATTTTGGAACCAACTCGCAATAGTACTTATCGATAATGGAGTTTGCTTAAAACAACAGTTATCAAGCGAGTACTCAAATGACTCTGTACGAAGCCTTGTATGGGAGACATTGTAGAACCCTAATATGCTAGACCGAATTGAGCAAGCAAAAACTCAAGGACCTGATCTCGTTCGAGAAACTGAAGAAAAAGTTCCACTACAAAAAATATAACTTTTTGTGGCTAACTTTTAGTAGCAAAATTAATATTTGCCACAATATATAAAGAGCCCGGTTCCATGGCCACTGGATTCTAGTGGCCACGGAAGCCACTGCCCCTCTACGGAGCTCTGTTCATAAAATTGATGATTCCTACCCCCTAACCCCCCGGTAAACCCCCCTTCCAAGTCCCGACCCAAACTAATCACCTCAACTACGGCAATTGCACCTCGTAAGTATAAAGTCAAAACTTTTGACTTTAAAATCAATTATACTTACGAGTTGCAATTGACGTAGGTGGGGTGATTAGTTTGGGTCGGGACTTGGCGGGGGGTTTACCGGGGGAGTTAGGGGGTAGGAATCATCAATTTTATGAACAGTGCTCCGTAGGGGGCAGTGGCTTCCGTGGCCACTGGAATCCAGTGGCCATGGAACCGGGGTCATATATAAATAGTCTATTAATATTTGTGGCTACTCAAAATTTGCCACAAATTAGTGTACTTATTGTAGCAATTTTATAAAATTGCCACTATATTTAAACTATTGAGGAGGTAAATTATTAAATGATTAATTTTATACATAATTAATCCTCTTTTTCTTCGACTCTTTATTTTGGAACGGCGACACACCCAAAGCAAGGAGTCCAAGACATTCCAATTCACGCTTCACCTCTTCTTAGAACCGCTTCGGATTCGCTATCTTCGCTCTAGTAACCTTCAAAACCATTCGTATCTCGCTTGCATATATTGATTCTTTCTTTCTTTGTTTATTATTTTCGTGTTGATTGTTTTTTTCTCTATTTTTTTTTATTGAATTTGAGATATTTTCTATTTAGGACTACAGTATTGGTTTTGATCATTCAAATATATGTGCTTGATTTTGCTCCAGCGTATATTAGTTTTTGGAAAATACTCTATTAGGCCATTCTTGTTCTATTTTTGCTTATGCGAGGATTTGGTTAGCCTTTCACTGTAGGGTTTTTGATTGATATTCGACTTATTTTTCTATTTTACTCCCTTCATCAGGAAATGTTTTCTCATTTGACCTTTTGAATTTTCAAGGTCTCCAAGATTGTATTTTGACCACTAATATCTTTATTTATACATAGATATATTTAATAAAAAATCATATTTGAAAACTACGTTTCAATAGAAATATATTGATATCAAAGTTATATCATATTACAATATATATTTTACACATATCGGAGTCAAAATTTACAAAAATTGACCAAGAAAAGTAAAATAGAAAGAACATGATAGAGGGAGTATGTATTATAGTGCAATGATAATGTTGAGTAGTTAGACTACATAGAGTATTTTGGTTATGCACTACAAATGATATCATGAAACCTCTCTATATAAGGTTATTGCTCCTTAGGTCATGGTTTGATCTTTAGTATTATTTATGGTTATTTGTTTTTCAGTGTGGTTTTTAAGTTATCTTATTTTTACTCTTCATATATAGGGCAGGGTTAAAGTGGATAATTTTTGTTTTTTAGTTCTCTGATTTTAGTATAAAGTGTTGTGGCCATGGTTTTTAGTTCATAGACCAGATTTTAGGTGCATAGTTTTTAGTTTTTCAATTTCTAGCATTCAATTTAAAAACGAATTGCTCTCCAACTTGTAATCTTGTATTACATCACTGAGCTTAGCTATGTATATGAAAATTGATGACTTATCCCACCAAATCTTATTATTCCAATTTCCTAGAACCAATCATTTAATGAAACTTATGAAGCTCAGCTTGTATCCGTGCTTTATAGGAAAAATTGACTTTTGTACCAGGTTCAGAGGTATATACTTTTGTATATTTGGTATGTATTTTGAGATGAATATGATTACTATCTATCGACTTATGTTTTGTATAGAGGATATCGGGTGATTCATCTGAACTTGTTCATTTCACTTCCAAGGAGTACGGCCCCCTCAAATGACACAAGGTACTAAAACTACTAATGACTAAAAATTAATCTATGAAATATATTTATTATCAAGCAGTGATTTTGCGATTATGACCGGGGAGAAAGAAACTCGTTTTTCAATGTTGTTGAAGTGTGACTGGCTTTGTGTTTCTCATTTTTTATTTTTCTTTGAATATGTATAGAATTTTTCATGTCGATTATGTACTCATTTTTGTTTTGTTTTGTTTCTTAAAATTTATGAATGGTTGTGAAGACATATTCGGTATGTATCGTTGGTAGAACTCCCTAAATAGAGGTAAAATGACATGAAAATTTCATAAATAAGAGTAATATTCTTTTAAATACTTAAATAGAGGCGGTGTTAGATTGGAGCTACTTGAGGGGAAAATGCTCCATGTTGTTTTTAAATTTTGCAATTGATGATGCTTGAGAGAACTTAGTCTTCTTTCTTATTTTCATAGTTACTCCTAGCTTTCTCCTTTTGGGTTTTCATTCTAATATTTTTATAGCATATGCCATATGTTGGTGGTCAGATCTCTACTACTTGTTGCCATTGTCAACCACTCTTGACCCATGTCACTTGTTTGCCTTTGAATGTACTCTTTTGCAAAATTTCTAATATACTATGTAGTGAGACCTAGTGGAACTAAAATCTGATAATGCCTTACTTTGAATGTACTCTTCTTATGACTAAAAAATTACTTCCAAAGTGTATTCACAATATAGCTAGTAGTACGGACCAACAAATGTTATCCACCAAAACAGGATTTTCTTTTGCTACGTTTGTTTTTATGATTAATTCGTTTATTACCTTTGTTTTTTTCATTTGCAGATCAAGGCTCAATATACCAAATACAATTCGTTTTTCTCTTTGGTTGAGAATTACAATCAAGATAGAAGTGACAACATGATATCAAGATAGATGTTGCTGATTAGAGGAAGATTTTAAGATATCATTGTCATAAAAACATGTTTAGTATTATTTATTATTATTTCAAAAGTCTATTATATTACTGTATGTGAACCTTTGATTGTTTGGAATTATGGGTACCATATATTTTGTTTTTAAGCTTGACACATGGCTTTTACTTAATAAATTCTTTATCGTAATTTGGTGTTTTAATTATTACTCTGTATTGTTTTTGACATCACATATATCATTAAATGTAATGTGTAAATACAATTAAAATCATTATAGTATTTATACTAATAATTGTAATATTAAAAATAATTTGTAGCAAATTTAATTTTCAACAATTTAGTTTCTCACTAGTATTAGGTTTGCCACAATAAAGTGATAATTGTAGCAATTAAAACTTGCTACTAGACATAGACTTTTGTGGCAAAGTATAATTTGTAGCATCATAAACTTGCTACAAAATATGAATTTCTGTGGCAAAACATAATTTGTGGCAACTAAAATTTGCCACTAAACATGACCTTTTGTGGCAAAATTCTATTATTCGCAAATCATAAGTTGCCACAAAAACCATTATTTTTATAGCAAATTTAAATTTGCCACAAATACCTTTTGTAACGGGGTATCTATGGCAACCTTGTGACAAATTCTAAAATTGCCACAAATTATTATTGGGGCTAATTTTCTATGTTCTGTGGCAAAATTTAGTGCCACAATAAGTCATTTGTAGTGTTCGTCTGATCCGAGAAAGACTGTAAGTGGCTTCTGATTGAGAAAAATCTTATGCCGATTTGAAATATCGTGAGATTGAATACAACATTGATGACATGGTGTTTCTAAAGGTCTCACCGTGGAAGAAAGTACTATGATTTGGTAGGAAGGGAAAACTGAGTCCAATGTATATTGGACCATATCGAATCACTGAACGTGTAGGTCTAATAACCTATCAGTTAGAACTTCCATCAGAGCTGAACAAAATTTATGACATATTCCATGTGTTAATGCTAAAACACTATCGTTCTGATCCATCGCATATATTGACTGATGGAACTATAACCCTTGACAAAAATTTGACCTATGAAGAAGAACCTGTCCAAATCTTGGCACGGGAAGTCAAGGAGCTTAGAAACAAATTTGTCCCTGTAGTCAAAGTACTATGGAGGAATCACTCGACTTAAGAAGCGACTTGAGAAATTGAAGAATTGATGAGGACACAATATCCGAATCTCTTCAATCAATGACCCACGTAATTTCAAGGACGAAATTCTTTTAAGCGGGAGAGAAATGTAACGCCCCGAAAATAGGTCTATCTGAATTAATTAATAATTGATTAATTACTGAGAAGGACCCAAAAATAAGCGATTTATAAAGTTTGTTAATAAATAATGAAAATTATATAGTTATGTAGAGTTTGACTATCGGACCGCAACGGTTCTATCGAATTTCAATTCGGAGAAAGTTGGACCAAAAAGTGTACCGCGACTGGAACCAAAATTAGTCCCAATCAGGGACTTCCGTTTAAAATCCGTAGGAACCGCAACCCCCTCCACTGAGACGCCAAAACAGTAGCAGAGGTCATCTCCCATGTAAAGGAATCCATCCTTAACCAATTTCTTCACAATTTCCCTTCAAAATTATTTTGAGAGTTAGTTTTGAGTGTGGAGAACGCAGTGGTACTGTCAATTTGGTGTGAAGTCGCCGAAGCTAGCCACAAACGTCGCCAGAAGTTTCACCGGAAAATTCTCAAAACCTTTGATAAGCTTCAAGGTAAGCCCGTAGATATATTTAGTGACTAGAATATTCATACTGGTTGTTTCTACATTCACAACGGTCGTTTGGTGGAGTTTTGTGTTTGAAATGTTTGAAGAACTAAGAATCATAAACTTTGAATTTGATGTTAAAACTACGAATTAATGATACAAAAATTATCTATTAACCTTGGATAACATTTCTATATAGTTTAATTAAAGTTTGATTACTAAGAAGAAGTAGATGAACAGTAAAATATAAAATAATGTAGAGAGGATTAATCAAGGGGGTGGATCAATCCCCTGGGTGTTTTCTTTCTAGCATGGATCGATCTAGAACTCGATCCAGAGTAGTGGATCGATCCCCCAAAATTTTGACCCGAAAATATTTCCAAAAATGCTTTTTTGAGCTATAAATACCTATTTTTGATACCAATTAATTATGATAAATATAAATATGATTTTTCATAATAAAAATGATGTTTTTGACAAATAAAAGCTAGGGTGTTAACACTCGACGCTAGGTCGCTAATTGTTATTATTATTAAAGTTTTAATTTAGAAAGAATGTATGATGGAAAAGTATAAAATAATCTACACATTAATATTTTTATTCTTCGTTATATATTGACTTTTATTATATAAGGAGATTAAAAGGTTATATATGGAGATATGGACATTAACACCGACCTTGCTACTATCCGGGAGAATTTAATGCATTTCACTTTTTGTAGCATATTCAATTTCCTTTGGCCTTTAGGTGTATAAATAGGTTGTTCTTCCGCATGGAAAATCATCTATTTTCCATTTTGAAGGTAGGCACAACTATTATGTTGCTAAGAACATTGATCATTCAATGGATTTAGGTAATAGTACTCGATTGATAGGAACTCTGTTGGCTAATCACTTAATACACGAAAAAGATATTATCTAGAAGATACATGGATGAAGAAGTTGTTATTCCAAGACTATCATTGGCACCATCTAATGCAAGACTTCAATTCAAGTTTCAAAGAAAACAATTCACTGTGATTACTTAAAAGTCAGGACCAATCTCCAAAACACGTAGGATTATTGTTATTAAAATCAGTATTTAGTCATAGATAACTAGCTATCTATTTCAATTTCAAGAGTAATAAATCGTAATGCCTTAAAGATTCAGATATATAACGCAAAGAATGATTCCATGAATTCTACCAGTAATGTAGTTGATGAAAAGTTTTTTCAAAATTTGTAATTCATTTAATATTCATGTTTTAAAATAATGAAAAACTTTATATTCTATTATATAGTCTATTTATATTTTTCAATGATGACACCAATATAATTTCATAACGTAAATACGAGCCGTGCAACACACGAATGTGATACTAGTTTCCAAACAAAGAGAGTAAAATGATTAAGTTAGAGTCTGTTTGGAAAGGTAGAAAATGACTTCTCGAAAATGAGTTATTTTTTCTAGAAGTTATTTCCTTTTCGATTGTTTGGCTGAAATTAGAAAATTTATCTATTTTTGTTTGATTAATTTTTTGGAAAATGAAATAAAATCAACAAAATCAATTGGATTTTTAGATTTTTCGAATGAAACCAATTGGATAATCGTGTATGAAGTATGAACGAAGAAGGATAGGATTTCTAGAATTTCATTGAATCTCTAAAAATTGATCTTCATCGTACATGCTCAAATCAATTTCTATTAGGGATGGTGATGGTGATTTGCCTGGAGATTGCAACGTCGATGTGCGATGATGTCGATGGTGGAGAGACGACGGAGAGAGATAGTGGTGGAGAGACGAAGGAGGTCGGTAGTGATGGAGAGATGACAGAGGTCGACGATGGTAGTGGAGAGATGACGAAGGGTGATAATGATGGAGAGACGACGAAGGTCGCCGATGGTGGTGGAGAGAGGACGAGGTCAACAATGGAAGATGAAGATGTTAGAGATGAAGGATGGACTGTCAATTTGGTGGAGGCGACGAGAAATAAAAGGATATAAATTGACTTCTCGAAATTTTTTCCGGAAGACAAATTCCGATTTTGGAACCCCATTTTCCTTTGACTGCAAGTCATTTTCTCCGGAAAACAGACCCTTAAATAAAACAAACTTTAAGAGCCCGTTCTTTAGAGCTTTAACTCTTAACTTTCAGTTTATCTAGTTCTTTTCAGTTCTTTCTAGTTTCTTCTAGTTTTTTCTAGTTTCTTCCAGTTTCTTTCAGTTCTTCCAGTTCCTTCCAATTTTTTCCAGAACCTTCTAGTTTCTTCCAACTATTTTTATTTTTTTTAAACTCTCTCTACTTTCTGACAAATCACTATAAAAACAATATAATAATAATAATAATATTATTATTACAACTATTATATTCATAATTATAGTTTATAAATTATTTCATTTTTTCATGGCACTATTTTTATGATTCACACTCATTATTATTTTTTATTCAACTTTTTAATATGAATAATACTACTTTTTTGTATATTAATCTGCATGATAAAATAGGAAAACATCAATATTTTAAACTATTTAAAAAATTGATAAAATAGTTACATAGAATGTTTTTTTAATCTAAATTTATGTAAGGTAAACATCAATTTTTTAATTTATAATATTTTAACAAATAATATCACCAATAATTAAAATACAACAAACAAAAAATTTATACTTATGAAAGTTAATTTAGGGGCTGTTTGTTTCAGCCTCTTAATGGTTCAGATGTCTGAATGGTTCAACACTTAATGGTTCAGACTGTTTGTTTCAGCCTCTTAATGGTTCAGATGTCTGAATGGTTAAGAGATTTGCCTCTGAATGGTTAAGTATTATACAGAGTCTGAATGGTTAAGACCTTTTATCTGAATTGATCAGACATTTGCCTCTGAATAGTTAAGCAATATACTAGCTCTTAATGGTTCAGAACTCTTACTAGTTCAGCACTTAGGGGCTGTTTGGCAACTTCTGAATCGGTAAGTGCCGAACCAGTAAGAGGTCTGAACCATTAAGTGCTGAACCAGTAAGAGGTCTGAACCATTAAGAGCTAGTATATTGCTTAACTATTCAGAGGCAAATGTCTGATCAATTCAGATAAAGGGTCTTAACCATTCAGACTCTGTATAATACTTAACCATTCAGAGGCAAATCTCTTAACCATTCAGACATCTGAACCATTAAGAGGCTGAAACAAACAGCCCCTTAATGGTTCAGACCTCTTACTGGTTCACCACTTACCTATTCAGAAGTTGCCAAACAACCCCTTATACAACTAACAAAAAAATTATACTTTTTTACTCAATTTTTTTCTCTTTTCCATTTATTTCAAAAAATATTTTTGTTTTTCATTTTTGTAATTTTTATAAAAAATTTTGATAGTCAAAGTACTTTAGAGAAAATGACTAAAGTAGACATAAAACATAAAAAAATATAAAAAAAAGTTATATGTCTTTATTCTAGAAGTAGGGTTACAATGAAAATAAAATTTCGATCATTCAAAAAAATAAGATTGATTACATTATGTGACATGTCTTATATTTAAAACAAAATCTTATAATATATAATGTATAGTTGCAAATATATTATTGTATGATAAATACTGCATAGTCATAATAAATTTAAGTATTTACATTTTGATATTTATGGTAATGTTATATTATAATTAATTTTTTTTCAAAAGTAGTTTTTTTTATATGAAAAGTAAAAATATTTTTTTTATCTTAAAGAAATTTATTAAGATAACGTGATTACACTACCACCACCACCACCAACAATAACAACAACAACAATAATAATTTATAACAACAAGAATTAGAATGAAAATAAGATAAAAACACACAATTTTTTTTAAGTTTTTTTAAATTTTCCAATTTTTTCTAATTTTTTTAAATTCTTTCCAATTTCTTTCAATTTTTTCAATTACTGAGTATTTTCAAGAGAAATTTACCTAAATAGAACTAAAACATAATGACTTTTCCAATATAGGACCATATGTTTTTATTTCCCAATGTAGAACCTTTGGTCATTATCACGAAGTCATTATTCAACTAAATGTGTATCATTGCTGGACATTATTCCTTCCACTAGGTCATTATTATGTCCTATTTAGGGAATAAAAAAAATTAAGTCCTATATTAAAAAAGTCATTATGTTTTAGTCGTATTTAATGCAAATTTCACTATTTTCAATTTCTTGGACATTACCTTTTTTTCGAGTTCTAAAGAATGAGGAAACCCGCATTTATAAAAATTACTCCGTAAGACCTAGTTATCGTGGACTTCGTCTTTGTCGTCCTCGTTCGAGACCTCCTCCAAAATTTCCCCAAAACCTTCCTATCCCTAGCAAACTTTGGAGAAGGGAGTGAGAATTGAGGCTGGAAGTCCGAGACAAACACCTTGAAGACCTAGAATTTCGCGCGAGGACTCGGTCTCCACGCCACCAGAGAGAAGCGGTGACTAAGCCGGAGGAGAGGAATGTCGTCGACGCTACTTGAAGTAACCCGCGCGTCGCACGAGGAGATAGAGCGGCTCGAGCGGGTCATCGTTAAGGATCTCCAGACCGAGCCGGCCACCAATAAGGACCGCCTCTACCAGAGCCACCGCGTTCGCAACGTTATTGAGAGAATCATTGACACCACGCACAGACTTGTAGTTTTCATATCCGTTTTCTGTTCAATTTTTCTATTTCGTTGTCTAGGTTATTGACAATAGTTTAGTTCAGCGAATCATCTGTGTTGTTGATGGCCAGGTCGATATCTATGAAGATAAAGACGGGGCGCGGAAGGATGAGATTGCGGCTCTGGGAGGACAAACTGCTACTGGAAGTAACATGTACAGTGCTTTTTATGACAGATTAAAGGAGGTAAACAAGAGGGTTACGGTTTTTTAAGCTGGTGGCTACACACTCTAGTTACATATGAATATTGGTCATATTGCAATTTGTTCAAGTGTAGTACACTTCATGAGTGTGAAGCTGTTTAAAGATGATTGGAGAAATAAATAAATAGGATTAACACACATGGAGTACATCATATTCCCAAACAGGGATACGATCCTTTTAATCCCAAAACAAGATTCATGAAACTCCATAAAATTATTGTTATTTACTATAGTATTATTTACTCTGAATTCAAAAAGAAATCATTGAGTCCCTTATAAGAATATGACATGCTTCCTCTGCCCCAAAACCTTCTCCGCACTTAGCAATTTTGGTATCCCAAATGCATCTTCTCATTAGTTTTTAGAAGTTTTTAAAAAGTGAATACATTATCACTCAACTAACCAAATA